AGGGTGTTCAAACCTAATAAAAAGTTAAAATAATCCTGAAATTCAAGTTTAATTGTTATAGCCTAGTCAATCTTTAGGTTCTAAATGTAGCCAAAGGGATGGCATGTGACCCAGATCTAGAGGTATTGACTAAAACTTGTGCCAAACACTGTAGTTTTCATTATCCCAGGGCCTTTCTATAATATAGTTATTTATTATAATTTCTTAATTATTCATTCTAGCAAGGTCTATAATGATAAAACAGCCACTAATGAGAAGGCAAAATATAATTCCTTAGGAATCTCATTTTTATCTGATGGTAATTAATGCCCACTTATAAATTGTGACTTAACCATAAAATCCCCTTGGCGCTTGAATTTAATCTTTCATATTTATTGAAAAATTAGAAAAAAAATCTGCTCTAAGGTAGCCAGATAAGTCCAATATGCGAGTTTTATAAACATTATAACCTGTAACAGGTTTATTTCTTGTTGTGAATTATCTGAATATCCTCCATGAGTAATATTTGTGGCATGGCAACAGATAAGAGTTTGAAGGCTGGAGGGATGAGTGTCACTCTTTTCTTCACTCTAAGAGGCAGCTCTCTGTCAGGATTGCAAGATTTTTAAATGTTGACAAGCATGTACACTCTAACACATGCCTTTTGCCTGGCTCATTATGTAAATTGTATTCATGTAATGCATCACTTGGGTATTCAGGTGCAAGCCCATGGTGTCTAATACAAGTCCTCCTTGTCAGGAGCGGCAGCAATGTACATTTTCAGTAAAGATAACCGATCAGGGGGAAAAATAACTGCTATTTTCAATCAGAACCATATAAAATGCCCTTAGTCCAGAAAAGATGTGATGCCAGGCTAAGGCTGTAAAATACGTCTCTGACCTTATTATCCAGGCTCCTGTGTTAAATATAGTGGCTATAATAGAATTTGTATGCCCTAGTTTCTGACAGGTTGAATGTTGCTTAGTGATCCAGGAGTGGAAAATGGCTGCCTGCATTCAAAGGAGATCATAGATTACAGACATTTCCTGTGCATTATGACCAGAGGATGCTGTTGCAATGGCTCAAAAAAGAGAGACAGCCTCCTAACCCCTGTAATTGGAGCAGGACTGCATTCATTACCTATTGCAGTGTAATGAAGTACCCCAAAACCATTTATTTATCTGTGGATCAGGAATCTGGGCTGGATGAGCTGGGTCTTCAGCTTTAGGGTCTCTCACAGGAGGCAATCATCTTGTCAGCCAGGCCTGTGGTCATCTCATCTTTAACCGAAAAGATGTGCTTCCTAGCTGACTGTCTCGTTTGTTAGCAGGATTCAGTTCCTCATGACTGTTGGGCTGGGGGTTTCTTTCCTTGCTGTGTGTTGGTTGGAGGCGTCCCTCAATTCTTTGCCATATGATGTCACATGCTCTAATATGGGAGCCGGCTTCATCAAAGCAATCAAAATGAAGAGAAAAGAGAGGGTGCCTTCCAGATGGAAGTCACCATCACTTCTTCATTAGAAGCAAGTCACTAGCTTCAGACCACATACAAGGGAAGGAGTCTATAGAAGGACAGGGATGCCAGGAGGCGGAGATCACTGGGGCCAGTTTAGAAGCTTTCCTGCCAAAGGAACTGAGAAGATCTCTCAGGTGCCCACAATATCGCTGCCTTAACATGACATGCTTATCATGTTACCTAGTGAAACCTACAAAGCAACGAAATGAAATGGTAACATCTTGGATCTCCTCTTATGCCAGGGTAGCTGACAGGAAATTTAACGGTGTTATTCACAGAGAGCACCTTGTCATATTACAAAAATGGGACTTCTTTTCAATCCCAATTGCAAGCAAAAAAAATTTTTTTTGGAAAAGAAATGTTTTAATGTCTTTTTTTTTCCTGCATGGCTCCAATATCCACCAAGCCAATTTCAAAGTCCATAGGAGAACCTATTAATCCAGCAACAGAGAAGGCAGGCATTGCAGGATGGCTTTAAGAGCTAGAGAGGTACAGCAACCTCCTAGAGCCAGCCACAACTAGCGCTCCACAGAGGATGATGGATGCAGGCAACTTTTCATGAAAATTGTTTAATGAGGACTCAACTTGATGACTCTGCTCTTGTGAAGGGCCTAAGGAAGAATAACACTCAATAATAAAACCTTTGAAAGCAGAAGCATACCTTGCCCAACCAAGAGGTATAAATGATGTGCGATAGGAGCCAAATTCGGCAAATCAAGAATGAGGAGCCATTCAAGAATATTCTCTTGGACACACTGGCTAAAGGTTATCACTAAATCCTAAATTGTGAGGAAGTGGAAAATCATCACCCAAGCCCACTGTGTATCTGTTCTATTTTGTAAAGAGGTGGGTAGGATTTTCTGATAAGTGACCTTGGAGCTCTCTGACAATGACCTTGGCCTCCCTTAAAATGACCTATCTGGGACTAATGGCCTCCTTCTTTGGTAATGGGGTGTGAGACTGCATGAGAGACTGCACTCAAATCACTTCCTAAGTAACCAGAAACCCTAAGATTTCCAGATGCTGGTCATCTATATTTTTTTCAGAACATCCTTAAAAACATTGGTCCTAAACTAAGTATTCTCACACAATAGCATTATAAGAAGGGATAGCAGTAGAGACTGAGGTTCCTTCAAGGGAGTAATAGCTTCATGGTATATCCAGTAGCTTCCCTGGTCAAGCACAGCCCTGCAGGGTGAGCAGAGAACTCAGGGCCTGCTGACCCTTCTGCCCCTGAGTTTCAGCCTGCACCAAATGTCATTGCTGGTGTTCATCCTGATAACTTTGCCCAGAATAAGTGCATGTGTATAAACACTTACAAAATATCATATGATTCTCATTATAGAGTGAGTCTTACTCATTGTTTTTGTTGTTGTCATCATCTTCATTTTATATGGCTCAAATTTTTAAAACCTTCTAACTATCACAATAGAAATGTATGAGCCCAGTGTGGTAAGTGACTATGAGAATGAATATTCCAGTGCCCAGCATGGGCAACGCCTTGTAAGTCACATACCTCATAAAATGCCATTGTAACTACTGAAGCTTAGGTGTATTGTATATAGCACAGAATCTCATCATCAGTAATGTATTGATTCCACTCTTTTTTGAGCCATTAAAGCTTAAAGACTGTTTTCACCTAGATTCCATAAGAAGCAAAGTGTAAGAAAAAGGTCATGTGTGAGTAATTTATTTGGAAATGTAGTTCCAGGGAACCAGAATAAAACAAGGGAGGAGAGAGAGTCCATGCAAGTATATCACCATGGGTGACCAGTCGTTCAGTCCTGTGAGATCATCTGAGAAGCAGAATGAAATGCTTTGCAAAATGTTCCTGAGGCAGGAAAAGTCAAATGAAGAAGCATTTACCCACTGACTTCCAGTCCCCATTGGTGAACATTTCTTCTAACCTGGTATTAAGCACTCCCACTTTCAGGATGCATGTTCTTGGACACTAAGTTTCTACAGTTCTCAGTGCAGTGACATCGTTAAAGAAAGTCCGCACCTGCGGGAGGCAAGAGGTGTGCATTTCGGGCCTGAAGCAAAGCCGTACTTACTGGAGACTGACTGGAGCCTACACAGAACTGTTGGTTTCAACAGCGGCTGCCACAGGATACAGGTGTGGCTTAGAAGATCAGATGTGATGCTTAAGAGTTAATCTAATAAAAAGATTTTCAGCTATGGAAAACCCTTGTGGAGAGCGAATTAACCCTCAAAAGGGTAACACCTCAAGTTTTTAGTTGCTTGTTTCTTAGTGGAAATTAAGAGATAGACATTGAAGCTATGAGACACAGAAAATCATCACATGAAGGGAGAAGTTGGCTTATAGATTTTATTTATTAAGCATGTCATTGTTGGGGAGGGATATTTTGGGCCTCTGAGAGACATTCTCAGATCCTTTGATAGAAATTTATTTAAAATGGCTTCCAAAGACCACCAACTACTGGTACACATGCCCAGTGCAATCCTCTCTCCTTGTTTGTGAGCTAAACCTAGTGACTTGTTTCTAATGCAAAGAACTGTCATAGAATAGCTAGTGCCACAATTCATTATCAAAAATTTTTTTAGGCCCCACTCCATGAGAATGCAACTGTAGAAAGGCATGATTTGGCTAACAATCATATTCCAAGCCATAGGACAGCGTTTGGCACATAATAGAAGGTCAATCCACATTTGCTCAATAAAACGTATCTCAAAAAGGTATTTATTTCCCGGAATAGAAAAAGGGAAAAAGGAAAAAGCATTAACCCACTGACTTCAAGCCTCCATTGGAACTGGAGTGAGTGAGTGAGTGAGCGAGTGAGTCATGGTCATTATTTAAATCAAGGAAAGTTCAAGCCTACATGATTTTAGAGTCCTGGCATGGGTGCTGAGGATTTCCCCTAATAACCAGAGTGAGGATAGTTAAAAAATCCCACATTACATTGGAGACATCATGAAAGATGTATCTCAGAAAACCTATTAGCTATTTGCTTAACTTATTTGAGACATTTTGTTTTCTGCCAGGGGAAACAATAATCGTGATGTCACAAAGCTGTTGTAAGAAACAGTGAGTTTATCTATAAAAGCACTTTGCAAAATCACAAAATACTAGATAAGTGTTAGTTGTTATTTGTCCCACCTTCTCCAGAGTTGCCTCTCTTGTAGGTTGGAGCAAGAGAGGAAAATTCAAAATCCCAGGAACCATTTCTGTCTTTTCCTCAGATTCCAAATGAAATACTTTGGCTTTGCTCCTAAACCAAGGTGAAACCAAGGTAGAGAAGGAGAAGAGAACAAAGGGAAGAGACTTGGACCGAGGCACATACAATAACCTGCCATGAGGAAGCATCATGAAGCCATACAATGCTGCCAAGGACAAGAATGTGATGTTTTCTCATTTGATATGTTTATTGATTAATTTCTTTTTGTGATGTGGTTTGACAGAACCCGAGAGAGAATGTGAAAACCTTTCACCCAAGTTCTAGAATGTCTGATATTGTCTTACAACTTCACATTCCTTTGTGATTCCAATGGACTGATTCAGCCCCAGGTTCGAATTTTTTCTAGTTTTCTCACACACACACACACACACACACACACACAGAGTCATAATACCTGTAAGAAGGAAAGCAGTCCTGTAGAACTAAAGTGTTTGAAAAAAATCTATGAGCTTAATGTTTTGAAGGAAATCCCTTCTATAGCAGTGGAAAGAAGGCAGCTCATTTTTGAGTAAGTGTGGATAGAACTGGAAATAGGAGATATGGCAAGGACAAGAGAAGGCCAATAATCTATGAGTTCATGTCCTCAGCTTTGAATGGTAGGACTGTATGTGCTCTTCAGTTTTTGAAATACAGCTGTGCCACGTGGTAAGTATACACCACCCCCTCAGAGCCTACCTGCTGCCTTAGTCCCTCTAACCCCTCCCCCATAAGTCTACCCCACTGGATCAGCCCAAAATCCAGACATTGGATAGTCAATGCCAAGCTCAACATGACACCTCCTGGACCCTACTCTAGAAGGATGGTCTGTTCTTAAATCTGTACCCGATGGTCAGGTTGCACTAGACATGTTAAAGGAGGCTGATATCACTCCTGTCTTGGCACTACTCTATACTTCCTCCCCATCCTGGTTCCTACCCCCCAAACATAGGTGCACATATGTGTATGTACACGTGCACAAATGTGTACACACAAGTCTACATTTGCACACACCTGTGCATACACACCTGCACACAAACATGCACATGCAAATCTATGCACAAAGATACACACCTGCACACACACATATCCTCACTTTGCCCCAGCTTCACCAACTTCTCCTTGCTCTTCTTTATGCTAGCACTGAACCTTCACGCTGGGATTCAGCTGCCATGCTTCACCTTGGGTATGATCATGACAGAGGCTGAGAAAGGTGACTCCCTCCGTTGATGTATTTCCCCATGATTGTCTTCCACCAAACGATACTAATACTCCCGAAAATACTTAACATTTACAAAATGTTTATTTTCTGATTCATGCCAAAGTACTTGTAAGCCTCCTTTTTCTCATATGCAAAATGATACCAATCATATCTAGTTCACAGATTTGTTGTGAGGAATAAATAAGGGACTACATCTACAGGATTAGCACAGTGCCTGGATATAGTAATTGCAACAAATAGTAGCTATTGATACCATGGTATTTGTTATTACTATTAATCTAATCATTCAGTTTTTGAGTTGTGAGTTCCTATATCCTTCTAATTCACTCAGCACATTTTCAAAATGATATCCTAGTCAAGGAGAAAGAATCTGAGAAAACATGTCTTCACTTCCCTTTTTTTCTTTTTACTTGGAAAGCAAAGGAAAGGGCAGAGGCAAGTGGGCTTAGTATTTTGTGGTTCAATTTAAATTAACTTAGCAGCTGGCATGCATAGAAAACCAAAATAAGCTAAGACTTTTTAAAAACTATTCCTTCACAATGTCATATTTCACTTAAATTGCAATTGACAATTAAAATAATTCCAAGAGTTTTAATTTGGGAGGAGGATGATTTGCTAAAGCAATTCAAGGTGCAGCCTCCTTTCAGGAAGGTCATTACAGACTTTGCTTGTACCTCTTTGTGCAACACAAAGGCCATGTAAGACACCCATTACCTTTCCAAAGAGGACATTATCAAAGTCTAAACTACATCCAAAGTGTATCTTACTCCTAATAATTAGAAATGGATGAGCGGCTAGGAAAAAATAATATGAACCTGCTTAAACTAAATTGGTTCAGCTCTAACTGATCTAATGCAGTTTTCCAAAGAATAATTGATATTATATAATCGTAACTGCCAGTTTATGTCAGAAAAGTGACATTTGACACTTTCTTGCTAGCCAGCCTAACATCATCAATTAAAACATCACTTCTACAATGACATTTCACTAGTCAGCTTAACATCATAAATTATGACATCACCTCTTTTATGAAACCAGAAGATTGAAGAAAGGGGACTGAGAGGATATTCCTACTGAAAACTAAGATTCCTCTTTGACTTGTGCCTTTAGAATCTTTTTTGCTCTGATTATATTGCTGAGATGATTACTAAAAATAGTAATAATAAAAACCTCACAAGATCATAGTGAAAGCCGTAAGAGAGCAAATTGTACATTTTCTAGTTCCCCTTAGTTATGGTTCAACATCTCTGGATGGTGATATGAGGATTTTATTTCACAACTGAACTTTGAAATGACTATTCTTGGAAATCCCTGGAAAATAAGAAACAGAAAAGAAAAATTTTGAGTTTGGGTTTGAATTTGGAATGGTATATTCATGTCTCACCAAACCCGTTTTAAAACAATTTATATATCAGGAAGGTTGCATGTACCTGTAGCCCTTCCAAAGGCTAACTGCTTGTTTTCCACCTGAGGCTCATAAGCACATACTATAGAAAATGTGATGGGAAATAGACCTTTTAAGATGGAAGGCCCAGATCCCAAAGAAGGAACATTCATTTTTGTCCACCTAAAACATTATATTTTAAGGCAGAAAGCAGTCATTTTCCAAACTGTTTCCTGAACACCTGCTGGACCAGCAGCTGTAAGAGTAAGGAAACTGAGTCAAAGAAGAGGGGAAGCAACTTGCCTAAGGTCACACATAAAGCAAGCATAAGATGACATAGTCCTGTTCTACAGCCCTGTGGTCTTGCCACAATCAAGGATGAAAAATACAAGATATGGCATCACATTTACAAGAGCCACTAAACACATACATGCTGTCTTCCTCTTTCTTTTACAATTTGGTAGTGGAAGGATAAGGTGACCTTTTGGTGTGTTAATCCACAATTTTCAAGAAAGTAATCAAGTAGACTTCTTCAAAGCTATTTATATAATTACATATAGGATTACCACAAGAATTTGTAAAAAGATATTATTTTTGTTTTTATATCATGTAGCAGAATTGAGAAAACTATAAAGAACAAGGTAGACATGTTTGGAGCATACTAGAGCCACATACCTCCTTCTAAGCTAATCTATAGTTAAAAAGAAAGTGTTGCCAAAAAAGAGTGCCACCAGGGGGATCATAGCAGAACTCTCACAGTTTTATCTGGTAGTTGTGATTTTAATCCTTAAATCCAATCTTCAAATTCATTGGATTAAGGGGGTTTCCCACACTAGTCAATGGTACAACAAAGAAACAAGAGAACAAAAATAAGACAAAACAATTACTTGTATATCAATATTTTAACAACTTTAATAGCATAGAATTAAGAAATTCTGCTTTATCCTGAATTTGGTTAATTATAACAGGCAAGTTTACACTGACTGCCACTGGGCAAAGTCCAACAACACAAGACCACAAGGCATAGCTACTTGCACTGTTTGATTATCAAATGCTAAACAGAACCAAAATTTCTGGTTCCTCCCAGGATGGTTCTTAGTGCATGGCTCATCCTGACAAGGGAAATTGTTACTAATTTTCCCAAGGCATAAGAAGATCAAGTACAAAGTAAAGCCTCATAAAAGGTCTTCCCCTTACGTATTGCTTCTGCAACTGTAGTCACACCAGGAGGTTTCTGTGTGTTGAATCTTGAATAAAAGGTAACTTTTTGAAAGCATCTTTGAGTTAAAGATTATAAAAACTAAGTCTGGTGTTTGTGATTGTATCAGTCCATTCTCACACTGCTACAAAGAACTACCTGAGACTGAGTAATTTATGAAGGAAAGAGGTTTAAGTGACTCACAGTTCTGCAGGCTATACAGGAAGTATGACTGGGGAGGCCTCAGGAAACTTACAATCACAGAAGAAGGTGAAGGGGAGGCAAGCATGTCTTACAATGGCAGAGCAGGAGAGAGAGAGCAAAGGGGGAAGTGCTACACACTTTTAAACAACCAAATCTTGGAAAAGCTCACTCACTATCATGAGAACAGCAAGGGGAAAATCCACCTTTCTGATCCAATCACCTTCTACTAGGTTCTTCCTTCCACACATGGGATCACAAGTTGACATGAGATTTGGTGGGGACACAGAGCCAAACCATATAAGTAATAAAGAGAAGAGTCATTGTTATTACTAAAGGATGGCTGTTTTTATAATAAAACACATCTCACACCTACATACATATTTTGAATGGGAAAGGGGAGCAGGGTTATTGACTTAGTAGAATTTATAATTTATAAAATACATTAGAATCAATGTTTGAGTGTTGTTTAGCCCAATTTTGGCAATGAATGAATTCAACAGCAGGCTTCACAGTGTACAAAAAATTCCAAGCTTCCAAGTAATTTTATGTTAGTTGAGACATATTTGTCTGCATTAGAAAATGTTTAAATCTTTGAATTATTTTTTTAAGGGCCAGAATCGTAAAGAAGGAATAAAGTATCACAGGCATAAGAAGAATTTGAGAGGCTCCAAATGCACTTGCTTTCTTCTTCAATAAGCCAAAGCATGAAGGTGGTGCCCAAATACTGACCCAGGGGATATGTTAGTTGCCATGAAAATAGTTCTTAAATAACAGAGCAAAGATTTTAAGCAAATCCATGCAAATTGTCAGAGCATATCTTAGTCACCTCTAGAGGTGGGGTGTGATTTACTTAGCCTCATTTCTTGACTTTTTTCCAAAAGTTTTTGCCATGAATATTTATGTCTAGGGTTCATTTACCGACTGAATTTCCACTCCGTTGGAATTATGCATCCCCATAGTGCACCCAAGAAAGGTGAGCAGTTAGAGGTGAGGAAAGAGATTTCCTGACCTTTTGAAAATAGCAAGCTACACTGGATTAAGTACAGCTTGAGCGAGGTTACTTGTGGGTTGGTGAGGTGTAATTACCTCAAAATTATCTCATTGAAACAATTAGTGTGCAATAGATTTGGTACCAGATCTGCCGCTGTTCTGAACTTTTGTTAAAGCATCTCACTCCAACCTGAAATTGGGCAATTTATAATTCTTACAGAAGGTGCTAGGACTCTACATATTCCTGCTCCTGAGTGCAGACTTATTTACAGCTGGTGCTTGTCAAATGAGTTGTACATGCGAAGGCGCTAGAATTGATGTGAGGGAAGTGTTTCTTTGAAGATGAAGCGTTCCCTAGGCAAGTTCCCGGAACCATCAGATGTACAGACAACAGCTAGCCCCCCTCTCGTTACAGTCCTCAAGTCCTCAAGCTAAAGGTGCTGAACTTCTGGCACCCAATCATCCACAACTGGTTCTTTTTATTTCTTCATTTTAATTAATTTATTTATTTGAGACAGAGTCTTGCTCTGTCACCCAGGCTGGAGTGCAGTGGCACAACCTCGGCTCACTGTAACCTCTGCCTCCCGGGTTCAAGCGATTCTCCTGCCTCAGCCTCCCTAGTAGCTGGGATTACAGGCACCCACCACCATACCTGGCTAATTTCTGTAATTTTAGTAGAGACAGGGTTTCACCATGTTGGCCGGGTTGGTCTTGAACTCCTGACCTCAAATGATCTGCCCGCCTTAGTCTAACTGGCTCTTTTTAAATGAACGCTAGGCAAAAAGGACTCAGGTTTGAGCATGCAGCAAAAGAGTACATTTTTGGAAATCATTTTCATTTCCTCTTTGCTTTTTTACAAAACTGCCTCAAGTTGAAGGGGCATTTTATTTCACTTTATTTATGTTTCTGACAAAATTTAGATGATATTTCTTAAGCAAAGCTACTGTCTAAACCTCAAAGATCAGTTAGTCATAGGCAGGGTAGTGATTGTACAGAGAAAAGATCTAAATTTTTGTTAGAAAGCTTTTAAGTAGCTTTTTGAAAAATAGCTTAAGTCATTTAAAAATATGTGAGAAACCACAATGAAATGGGATTTTTTTCAAAATTATTTTTTCCTAAATTGATTATGTACTATATACCCTGAAGGTGGTGTCTGTGCAGTTAGGGTGAAGTAAAGATATGAAATGAATTCAGATTTATACTCTATAAAAGCAACTCTTTCTTTTACTCAATAGAAGGAAAACAGTATTTGTCTTAAGTAGTAAACAGATATATGCTGATACATAAACAAGAGCTACTTATTCTGTAACTTGAATGGAATCAAGA